AACAAGCAACCCAATCAAAAAATGGGCAAAAGAGCTAAGCAGGCATTTCTCTAAAGAAGATATACAAATGGCCAACAGTCATATGAAAAAATGCTCAACATCACTCAGCATCCGGGAAATGCAAATCAAAACCACACTGAGATACCATCTCACCCCAGTTAGGATGGCCAAAATCCAAAAGACACCGAAAGATAAATGCTAGCGTGGTTGCGGAGAAAAAGGAACTCTCATACATTGTTGACCCAGCTATCCTACTGCTGGGAATATATCCAAAGGAATGGAAATCATCAAGTCGAAGGTACACTTGTTTCCCAATGTTTATTGCAGCACTCTTCACAATCGCCAAGAGCTGGAATCAGCCCAAATGTCCATCATCGGATGAGTGGATATGGAAAATGTGGTATATCTACACAATGGAATACTACTCAGCTATAAAAACGAATGAAATACTGCCATTTGCAACAACATGGATGGACCTTGAGAGAATAATATTGAGTGAAACGAGTCAGGATGAGAAAAAGAAGTACCACATGTTCTCACTTATTGGTGGGAGCTAAAAAAAATAAACAAATTAATTTACCCACAAACACACACACACACACAAAAAAAAAACCGGGGGGTGGGGGTGGGGAAGAAGATATAACTACTATACTTTTTTTTGAAGTTGTTACAACAAGCAAACGGAAAGGACATTCTTGGGGGGGAGGGGAGAGAGGGAGGAGGGCGGGAGGTGTCGGTGAAGGGCCATAATAATCATATACATTGTATATTGACAAAATAAAAATTTTTTAAAAAAAAAAAGGAATAGGTTATATAACATAGGAATTATCTGATATTTGAATAATTGAAAGAACATGTTACACTATACTTGAGCCAAATGTGTAGGATAAATCTTTGATAATTTTATTTGTTCTTTCAGTTTTATTCTTCTCTAGACAATTGTGATCATTTATACTACCGTATAACTCATTTTTTCAAAAGTTTCAAAGTGACACTATATAGATATGCATGTTTTAATCTCTTCTATACTTGTTATATTTGAATTCTCATTTCTGACTTCATATATTGGGAGTTTTTTGGTATGCTTAAATTCATTATAGTTATTTCTAAATTTATTAAAGTTAAATTAGCATCTTTTGAAAAAATATTTAACTCTATTAATTTCATACTTTCTAATTCACTTGTCTTTTTCTTGAATCAATTGATTTCATTAGACTTATTGGTTATTTTGCTTCTAGTTTCCTATGTTGGCAGCTTAGTTTTTTGTTTTGTTTTATTTTCTTATTTAATCATGGAAGCATTTACTGTGATGGCATGTTTGGCCATATCTCACATGCAGCACTCTCATTATTTCTGTTTCATAAGTACCCTGTTGGTAAAGTTTTCATGTCCTCTTTGATACAAAGTTGTTTAGAAAAGGGTTCATTTTTTTCTGTTTTAATCTTTATGTTGATTATATTGTGATCATATCTTATTATCATTAAAGTTCTAATTATAAATAGATACTATGTATTGTAGGGTAAAAAATTTGACACATAAATTGCTTTTATTATATTATTCATGTTCTTCATATTTTCTTTATCTTTTTTAACATAAGAGGTTAAGAATTGAAAGAAGTAAGTGTCTTGGATTACTATTTTTGTTTCTGTCCATTTCTCCTTAACTTTCATAGATATTTGTTTTGCATATTTCTATATTATGTTATCTGGTATAAAACTATCTGGAAAGTTAGGGTCTCACTGTACATTTAAATCTTTACTAGTATAAAGTGTAATTATTTAATCCATCTGATACTTTTATTTTGAATTTTACCTTTTTTGTTAATAATTTTGAGGCTTTTTTTCATTATGTTTTTAAGTTTCAATGATTCATCTTTATCCAATATTTAACATTTTTTTCTGAATTGGTTTTAAATTTCTTCTGATAAAAAAGTTATGATTACATTTTGAATTTTAACCTATTATTTTCCTATATAGGATCATTTTTAACAAACACTTTGTTTCTATAACTGGCATATTTATTCTTACTTTCTTAATTCTGTTTTCTTTTATATAAGGGTACTTCAAAAAGTTCTTGGAAAAATAGAATTTAAAGATAATATAAATCTTTTCATGAACTTTTTTTTGTCTTTTTTGTTGCTTTTGTTCTCTTACCATTTCATTTTCTTCTGTTTTCCTATTTTCCTATTCCTTTCTTTTTTTTTTTTTTTTTTTGAGGCAAATAAAACAGAATTCAATAAAGAGACATACCGTATTCTTGTATGGGAAAAAACAAATATTGTAAAGCTGATATTTGTTTCCAAAACAATTTAAAGGTTGAATTAAATTTGTTCAAGAACAAAAAACAAAATTGGAGGCTTATGTGGAGGACTTTAAAGGGTTCCAAGTGCCCAGCTCCCTATCTTACTATTTCTTTCATGGTTCCTTTCATTCTTTTTTCCCCTCTGGTGACCTGAAAGGTATACATCCTATTTTAAATTCTAATAAAGCAAGTTAACTCCTATTTGCTTTCTATGGTACTCTTACGTGCCATCTCCAGTTTCCTATGGCTACAGTTCCAGATTTTTATCTGAGAATTTTGAACTGTGATGATAAGCTTATGTGTCAACTTTGCTAGAATATAATACCCAGTTATTCAATCAAACACTAATCTAGGTGTTGCTGTGAAGGTACTTTGTGGATATGATTATCACAACCAGTTGACTTTAAATAAAAGTGATTAGCCTCAATAATGTGGGTGGACTTCATCAATTAGTTGGAAGGTCTTAAAAAAAAAACTGAGGTTTCCCTGGGGAAGAAGAAATTCTGCCTCAGGAATGCAACATCAGTTCCTGCTAAGGACTTTTCAATCTATTGAACTACCTTACAGATTTTAAATTTTCCAATCCACATAATTGTGTAAGCCAATCCCTTGAAACATATCTCTTTATCTGTTACATACACTATTATCTGTATAAAAATTATACAGATAATATTTAATACACTCATATATTATATATATACATAACAGTATATATTTAACTACATATATTATATTTAACAGTATATATATAACCGGTAGGATAAATACACACATACATACATGTACATAACATACTGGTAATGTATATATCATACAAATAGACCCTAACTAATAAATTGGCTTTTCAAATTTTATGTAGTGTCTTTTATAAGAACAATTATTAGAATTTATCTTGTTTTAATAACCATATTTACAGTATTATATTTAACTTATTTCAATACTTATCATCAGCCCTTTATATCATTCTTGAATTTTATTTCTATTCTTGAATTTTAAATTCAGAGAAATATCGCATGTCCTCACTCATAAGTGGGAGCTAAAAATTAAGTAAACAAATAAGAAAGAAAAGAAAGAGAGAGAGAAAGAAAAAAAGAAACAATAATAAGTTGAACTTTCAGAAGGACAGAACAGACTCTGGTTACTAGAAGTTTGAAAGAGGGAGGAGAAGGGAGGAGGGGGGTCAGCAAGAAATTGGTTAAGGGACACAAAGAATGATTACGTATTGTAAAGATGAATAAGCTAACTGTCCTGATTTGACCATAACATATTGTACACAAGTATTGATAGTTAACTCTGTACTCCACAAATATGTATACTCAATTAAATTTCAATAAGAAAATTAAAAACAATATGGAAGTTTTAGGATTTTACATTTTTTTAAATTTCTCAAAAAGTAAATAAAGTCAGTTTAATCTCTTTATTAAAAAAGGGGTTATTTGCCTTTTTTTTAGATTTCCAAAGGAAAATATATCTTTTGCTTGCTTTTACATGTGAATTGCATCTTAGCAGGGTGTGAAATTCTTTGATTATAGACTTTTTTGTGCAAACATTTATAGATCCTGCACCACTATCTTCCTACATTTAATAGAACAGAGAACTCTAAGCCTAGCAAGCTTTGCTCCCCTTTGTTTTCTTTTACTTTTTTGCTCTTTTTTCCTGCACACTCGGTCCTCCGTATCCATGGGTTTCGTATCCACGGATTCAACCAACAGTGGATGAAAAACAACAATAAAATATAACAATAAAACAATAAAAGATAATACAAATAATAATATAGTATAACAACTATTTATATAGCATTTACATTGTATTAGGTAATATAAGTAATCTAGAGATTATTTAAACTATACCATATAACCTAAAGTATAGGTTATATGCAAATACTATGACATTATATAAAGAACTGAGCATCTTGGGATTTTGGTTTCTGTAACCAATCCCCATGGATACTGAGGGATGACTGTAGTATTAGAATAATGTAACGCAGCAATCATTATTCTTGATATTGATCTGTTCAAATTAAATGTAACTACTCCCAGGTTGGCTATGAGCATTTCAGTCATAGTTTTCATTTTCTTTCTCTTGTAATTATCTTAGATTGTTATTAAAAAAGAAATATTACATATCTTTAGCTTTCCATTTTCTGATCTCTGCTTCAAGTATCTTATCTTTTATCATTTTTGTCTCCTGATCTTGTCTTCTACATGCTGGTAGATCTCCATCTGCTTGTTCTTCACATTACCTATTCAGTTTGAGGCAGTGGTGATTCTGTTTTATATTGCCTCCAATGCATTATTAAATTTCATGAGATTCTTCATATGCTTCATCTTACTCCTAATTTATTTCTATTTATTAACCAGCTATCTTTCAGCTCAAACTACTGTGTTCTCACCTAATACTTCATCTCTTATCTCATGAAATTCATATTTTTTGAGATCTCACTGAGAGCAATAAGCATGTATTATCTAAAATTTACTTCTGGAATAAAATATGTTCCTCCCTTAATTTTGCATGTTTTGTTCTCCTATTATGTTACAGAGTTTTTTTAATCCCCTGAAATCCGTTATTTTTCCACTATTCATGCTTTACAATGTTTAACCTAAAATTCAATTTCATAGTGAACAAAAAACTTCAAGGAGAAGCAAACTAAACCAAAAAAAGAAAAAAAAAAAAGTCCCTAACTTACTCTCATTCCTTACCTCTCATTTCCTGAGGCAATATCAACTCCAAGATGTGTCCAGGATTTCTTAGGATAAGCACTGTGAAGCTGAACTTTACCATAAATACCTGAAAACAAAAGGAGCAACATTTGGATAGGAAACTCCTTCAGAGGAATTAAGTCCTGACAAGTAAAACTCAATCCAGAGGTTATTGTGCAAAATATGTGATATAAAATCTATACACAAAAGTGTCTACCTTATCAGGAAAAAAATATTTAAGTGTTCTATTTTACAGTAGCTTAACTATATTTCACATGGCTACAAAAATTATTCTCTCAAAAGCTATCGAGAAATGAATGTTATGCCACATCATCATAATCTAAAAGCTGGGAAAAAAGCCACTCTAATCACCAGTTTAATTTGTAAAGAGGTACTCCCTTCCACCATTAAGTGGTTCCAAACCATTTGCAATTCTGTCAGAAGTTAACTGGTTCTGGTTTTTTATGAACACACTAGATTCTCCAAGAGCCAACTTTAATTTTATTTCCTGAGGATAGTGTTTTGGTGCTATTAGCTTTGTTTTTAGTGGTTGGACTTAATATTTTGTTTTGTTATACATATCAAGGGCGAAATCTCTAGGTCACTTGTTTCCAAATATAACTTACTTCAGACTCACAAATTAAAATCTTACCAGGGACATGCTTGATGCAGCCCAGTTTTATTCCTTCAGGTCATTCCTCTTACAAGTTTTATTGCCATTTTCTTTTTTTTTTTTCTTTTTGTCTTTTTTCGTGTCCGGCAACGGATCGCAACCCTCAGCGTCGCACCCGCACCTCGCTCAGCCAGTGAGCAGGATCCGGTCTGTATGTGGGATCCGAACCCTCGGCGGGAGCGCTGCCACACTCCCAAGCAGCGCACTGTAGCAGCAGTGCACCACCGGGCCGGCCCTTATTGCCATTTTCAACCATGTCAAGCATAATTCTTCACGTTCTAGTGGTCTAAAAATGTTTGGACCATGAATCCCAGAAGTAAAAAAAATATAAGGAACCATGTACTCCCAACATATGTATATTTATTTTATTTAGATAATTTTAGATAATACTTGTTATTTTATATAAATAAATATACATATATAAGTATATTTATGTATATTTGAATAGAAGCTCAAATATTTTCTTTCAACATCCATAATTTTTTCCATAGTCTAACTCAGAAAATAAAAAAAAGTCAGAATACAACAAAACTAAAATCAGGATTAATGGATGTGAAAAGAATCCCACTTTCAGGACATGTCCTGAAACCAATCTTTCATAATAATAGTTTTATAAATATATTTCATAAGATATATTTCATCATAATCCAAAAGAAAAAAAATTCATATTTTTTCACTGTAGGCTAAGTAAGCCAGGCAGAGAAGGATCCTGAAGTAATTTAAAGAGATTTCCAACAACAATGTTTATAACAAAAAGCAGTTCACATCCTTAAATGTGAATTATCCAGAAAATTCAATTGACCAGAAAAGCAGATTTCTTGGTCATTTTCAATCATCAAAGGTTTACTGTAAAATGACACCATTTCTTACTTGTTTCGAGGAGATTATAAAGGATTTAAAAGGATTAAAATCTGTCATTTACTTACAATACTACAAAAATTTAAGCATGCAGTGAAACAAATATTTCATTCGTTATTTCAATTTGGTATCAGAGAAAATTCCCCAAACACTAGTTTGACCATATAGCTAGGGTCTGGGATCAGGACAGGAATCTGTGTGTATCCTAACAGGAAGTTTGATCCAGTGTAATCACTTCATAGAACACAGAGGACACCATAGGCAAAAAGAGATCAAATGTTCCTATTATGACCCATCTAGTTTATAAACTCAGAAAAATGTTTTAAATCTTGAACCTCATGTTACTGAAAATATAAAATAAATAACACGCATGAAGAAACCTTTGGGAACTATAAAGCATTGTCAAAGAATTATATGACAATGGTCATATATTATAAAACTAATTTAACAAACTTCACACTGTCCGAACATTATTTTCTATTTTATTGAGTACGGAGATCTATAGAGGGAACTGTTGAGTGCCAATGAGTATTAAATTTATATCCCACAATGTTCAGAAACCTCATATAGGATGGTCCTTTCTCTTCTATATAGGATGGTCCTTTCTCTTCTACCACAACATAAAGTGACTTACTTGAAAGCATCCAACACAGTAGTACATCTAAAGGAGAATCTAATGAAATTAATATCCCACTGAGAGTAGCACATTTAAGCTATGTGATGACATAATATTTAAAAGGATAATAAAATATACTGACTGAATCATTTCAACTAAGTGAGGGAAAGGAAATAGCTAAAAGGAACCCAAAGGGAAATTGCTTCCTACAACAATCCTTCTTTATGTATAAAATTAGTAATGTCCATAAGAGAAAGTGAGAAAATAGTTGAAATCTAATAAACTTTCTCTTATTCCTTAAAACTGAGTTATTGGGGCTCTTCCATCATGGTTATACAAGGCCACTTCCAGTTTCTGTGCTCTTATGTAGACCAATTTTAAAATAGAATTTGGCATTGTGGCAATATCAAATGAAGAAACTATGAAAAGTGAATGTTTCTTAGTAATCTATAGATCCATCAGTTTTTAAAAATGTACCAGTAGTCACATAGTATTTATAGCTGATTTATAAACTCTTAGTGCAGACACTGGTGTCTGACCAGTCTCGATTTAGATCTAAGTTCTGACACTTTAAAACTGTGTGGCCTCTGCATAGTGTTCATCATCTCTGACATCTATAAAATGGATGCTGCTCACAGGAGTACTGGTAAGTAAAATAATAAATATAAGTTACCTAGAAGAGTGCTTGGAATTTAGTAGTTCTATGAATGGTAACTTTTCTTTTATTTATTTATTTGTTTGTTTATTTATTTATTTCAAATGAATGGTAACTTCTTTATCAGACACACACACACATATTTCATTTTTAATAAAAACTATATTATATTCTTACCAATCGTTCCTGGGTCAATGTGAAGTCCATCGAAACGGTCACAAAAGATTTCCTCTGAGGCTCTGAGAACAATCAGAAGCTTTTGTTCTTTTTCTAAGGGATTTTCTAAAGTACCTGTTTGCAAAGAAAAGTATATCATTCAAAGTAATTTGAAATTAAAGGAGAGATAGAGGCAAATTGTGATGTAATTTCTGAAATGCAAAGTAGATGCTATGAAGTAGACGATGGAGAAGGCCAATGGTCACAAAGAAAACAGAGTAGGAAAAAAAGTGAGATTCAGTGAACAACTTTGAGGAGCTCAGGGAGATTGGATTACACTTCAGCAAATAATCGCTCTTCTTTCTTTATTAGGGCAGAGTATATGAGCACTTTCTTGACCTACTAATATTTAACCTGGTCATGTAACTCATTTTGCCCAGTGAAATGTGGGTGGATAAGATAGTAATGCCAGTTCTCAGTTGATGCTTTAAGAGACTTGCCAAGTTTTCACCAGATCCCTTACAGTGATGTTTTCTGACATGAAAGGAGAATTCCTTAAATAGCTTCTAGTGCCTGAAATGAAGAGACATACAGAGCAGACCTGAACAGAATGCACAAGCTAAAGCCGAGTCGACCGAGTCTAACACTAATATTTGTTGTTGTAAATCACTGCGATTTAGCGTTATGAAGGTTAATTCTATGTGTCAACTTGATTAGATGAAGGAATACTGAAAAACCCGTCTTTTTAGGTGTGTCCATGCAGGTGCTTCCAGCAGAAAATAGTATGAGACCCTGAGTGGACTGGGTGGGAAAGACCCGCCCTCAATGTGGGCAGGAACCATCGAATCTGCTGGGAGCCTGGAGAGAAGAAAAAATGGAGAAAAAGGGTGAATCTCTATCGGCTGGAGCTGGGATACACTGTTCTCTCCTGTCCATAGACATCAGAGCTCGAGACTCTTCAGCTTTTGGGTGTCAGGACTTCACAAAGGACACCACTGGCTTCCAGCAGCTTCCCTGGTTTTGAGATCTTTGGACTTCGACTGAGCCACACTACTGGCATACAGTTTGTAGACAGTCTATCATGGGACTTCTCTTCACAACCACATGAGCTAATTCCCCTAATAAATTCCCTCTCATATATTTATAACACATTCTATTGTTTCTTTCCCTGTGGAGAGCCCTAACGAATATAGGGGTTATTTGTTTCACACCATGATTACAGCAAAACCTGCTGACACACTATGACAGGATGATCCTCAAATTCCTTTACATGCATTTTAGCATTTAATCCTTAAAACAAACCTGAGAAGTGAGTATGATCCTTATCCCAATTTTAAATATTCATACAGAAAGAGGCTTAGAGTTTAAGTAACTTGTCTAAATCTACCCAATTAGTAAGTAACAGAGTCTATGTGAACAAAGGCCTGTTTATGCTGAGTGTTTTATTAAACAAGTAGTAGGTTATTTTCTAACTCTAAATTCTTTTAGCAGCATAAAGAAACATAAAGACATAAGGCTATGATAGACAGCAGCTGAGAATTACTTCTGACCTTATTTTGTTGATGTAAACAGTGGGGTTTGGTTACTTTCATGTAATGGGAATTGTTTAAGGAATTTGCCCAAATAGTGTTAGTAAAGTATATATCTAAGGAAGGTTATTTTCTTTGGAAAATATATCTTAAGAGTTCAAAAAAATATTACAGAATCAGTTGTTCAAGCAGTAACTAACTGTTGAGAAGGGAGTCCCCAAACTATATACAGTCAGACCCCACAGAATGACATTTTGGTCAGTGACTAACTACATATACATAATCCCATAAGATTATAATGGCTATACCATATAGCCTAGGTGTGTAGTAGGCTGTACCATCTAGGTTTGTGTAAGTGCATTCTATGATGTTCACACAATGACGAAATTGCTTTACAATGCATTTCTCAGAAAGTCTCGCTGTAGTTAAATGATGCACGACTGTACTGGATCAAACAGGTTCACAAAAACTATCTGTATCAAATGAGACTTTTCAGTTTAGAAATTTCTGAAAACATAACCAAAAATGAAGTTTCCAAATACAGTATGAAATAACTAGTAAACTTAAAATCGCTTGGTTGTCATTTTGGTTAGTGGTCTTTCAGGCAGCACAATGTCATTCCCTCTTGCTGGACCTTTATGTATGCCTGTTTGGCCAAATGGCTCAAGGTGAGTTTGAAGCTTGCTATGTCCCTATCTGTATAGCCCAGGCTTCACATTACTGTAGAAGGGCCTGCTGAAAGCAAGACTCAGAGAGGTAAGTAAATCTGCCTAGGGTCACACAGAAGGTCAACGGGCGAGTAAGGATTAGAAGCCGCAGCCTGTGTATTTCCAGTGAGATGCTGAGGTATGCTGCTGCTCTGTGTAGGTAATGCCAATCCTCAGCTGAGAGACTAATGAATCCTCTTAGCCAAAACAAAGATGTGCTAGAGCAGAGAGAAAAGAAGCAGGGGAGGAGGAAAATGTTAAGTATATGTGTGTGGTGCAGCTCTTATCTTGCAGTTGTAAGTCTGTCCAGTAAGCCGTTTTCCAACTGTGATTTCATTTATTTCACGGAGGGTAGTTTAGAGTCTTGGGGAAAAAAATGGCCTATCACTAAACAGATACCAGAGAGAAAAAACTAGGACAGTTTTTGCCCTAGAGAAAGTATGCAGAGTCCCACAAAAAGAGTTCAGCGTTCCTCTAAAATCAGAGATTAAATCAATTATGTGATCCAAAATTGCAGCACATGTCGAGCTCTCACAGAAAATCTGGGCAAAATTAGTTAGCTTGCCATGATCTTCTGGTATCTGAAATGACCAGAGATTGGATTCTTTTCTGTGGGGAAAGAAAAAAATAGGGGATAGAGACTAAGTAAAAAGAAAGCAAGGGTAACTTAACAGAAGGAAATACATGCTATTTTAACATTAAAATGCAGTTTCTTGAATTTGTAAAAACCATGAGTGAAAAGCTTTAAAGGCTGAGATCCTCATTTTATTCCCAAATCTAGCAATCAAAGAAAGGTGAGGTGCTGTCTTCAGCGCAGTCTTTGCACCTAAATGAGAGGGGCCATCACTGAGAGAAGCTCAGGATAATGCAATTCATCCTGGTTTACCTCTGTAACGCTGTACTAAATTGTAGCAAGAGGCATATTAAACCTGGACAAATGCATATATTCATAATGGGAGGGGAAATAACTGTCATTGTGCTGCAAAGATATTCCAGATGTTTTCACATGCATGATTTTATTTAATTCTCACAACCCTATGAGGAATATTGTTGAGGCTCTCATGATGAAACTGAGGCAAAGACAGGCTAAATAACTTGTCAGGAATTACACAGCTATTAAGTGAAGTTGGGTCTTAGACTTAATAAAGGCCATCCTGGGAATAGGAATAGAAAAGAAGTAAAGGGAAGTTGATATTACTTAGCATGATGGAGGGCAAAGGAGGGGAAACAGAATATATTCCAGATGCTAAAATCACCTGGGGAGATGGAAGAAAATAAGTTCTGGTATACAAAAGATGACCCTCAGAATGATTTGGAGAATATGATACAAATGGATTCCATGAACTTCAAAAGGTAAAAAAAGGGAAAAGGACCTTTTTTATTTTATTAACTAAATCTCTTTGATGGAATCAAGTATAAACCTAGTTTACACTTAAGCCCACTCTATCAACATGACTCCCCACACCTTGGTCTAAGCCAATACATACTGAACTGTTTAACATTCCCTCAACTCTCTCTCCCCTGTACACATGAGATTTCCTAGACTTTTATATTCTTTATCTTTATCTTGCTTAACTCCTAATCATCCCTAAAAACTTGGCTCCACTGTGATTTACTTCTCAAAGCCTTCTATGATCTTGAATTAGATGCCCCCTTTAGCACATAAAGATGTCCATGCCCCTTGCTGAAGGAACTTGTCCTAAAGAGCCAGACAAAGATTAACACCCATGGTTATTATTTATTTATTATAGGAAACATTGTTAAATGCTTTGAAATAGCAAACAGTTGGCAACATCTTTGTCCATGTAGAACCCCTTCCTCTCTCCCCAGTCTTTTGATATGTTCAATAGCTGAGCCACCCAAGTCCCCAAGCATGCCATATGCTTCCTTGTCTCTGTTCCCTCTGCCTGGAACACCACCACTCTGCTTTTTTCATAGCCAACTCTTACTTATTTTCAAACTCAGCTCACCTCTTCTAGGATCCTTTTTGTCAGATAAATCTGGGTTAAGTAAACCCCTATAGACTATCACAGCATATTGTGTTTTACCTTAATACTTCTAAAACTATACTGTAAGTACCTTTTACCTGACTGGTTCTTTCTGTTGGTGAACTGAAGGAAGAAACTGTGTACTGTACTACCAGCAGAGTTTACCTGATAATATTTTATTCCAGAAATGGTAAAATAAGTAATTTTGTCCAACCCTCCTGCAGAAAACAACTTGAAATAAAAAGAAATGCCCCCTAGTCATAAAAGACTCACTTTTCCAGTTATCACAATTTTAAACATGTATGCACCTAGCATTATCACTTCAAAATACATAAAGCAAAAATTGACAGGACTACAAGGACAAAAAATTATCTATGATAACAGTGGTAAAATCAACACAACTGCTCATAGAATAAACAAAAAAGTATAGTATGGATACAATAGTTTTAAATAATACAATTAGCAAACTTGACATAATAGGCATAGATGGAAAACTAGACCCACAAACAAAGAATGCATAGTCTTTTCAAGCACGTACAAGACATTTATAAAAATTGATCATACAATGAAAATAGAGCAAGTTTAACAAATTTAAAAGGATGAAATTATATTGCACATGTTTTCTTACCATAATTCAATCTATAAAGTGAGCTATATTAAAATAAAGACTTTCCAATTATCAAAGGATACCCTTTAAGCACTGAAAAGCCAAGCCACATAATGGGAAAAGATATTTCCAATACATTTAACAAAAGGTACAGTCTAAAATATATAATTGACTTCAATAAATCAATACAAAACAGATAAGTCCCTCATTTAAAAAGGATAAGAGAACAACTATTTCACAAAACAAGATATCCTCAAATAGATCATAAATATATGCAAAATGTTCAATCTCATAAAAATAAGAG